TCTAAGCACGTGAGAGAGAGTGGGCACCTCCCAGAACATTGTATTGTGCCGCGCCCAACAGAAATAACCCAGGTGGATAGCTCCTCAGTTGCTCATAGAAAATCCCACCTTGGAGTTTACAAAGACTTACGGGTAGAAAAGCCACACTAAGTAATTTACTACACTGCAGGTATATAAATCTCTAAATTTAAACAGAGCAAACAAAAGCAAACTACCAGATTCCACTAGATCTATTCATTACTATTTAAAAAAAAAAAAAAAGCTAAAAAGGAAGAAAATGTCTGTGCTTAGGGTCAAAAGTTACTCAAGCCAACAAATAACAAGATATCACAAAACTAAAGCATCTATGGACTCCTTCATCCAGAACTGCAATAATGAAAACACAGCCCAGTACAGCGGAAAAAGCACTGGACTGAGCAGGGGGCCTAAATCCTAGTTTGGCTCGACCTTGTGTAACCCACGGCAAATTTGCTTCTTCATTTATAAAATAAAGAGATGGGGCTGGATGATGACTAAGGTTCCTTCAAGATCTAAAACACTATAATCCTATAACATGATTTAAAAAATGCTGAAATAAACTAGATTCTGGTGAGTCAGTATCAGGAGAACAAACTTACCAACTAAAACCTAAAAATGACAAAGTGAGATTTATTCCAGGAATGCAGAGATGGTATAAAATTAGAAAATCAGTCAAAATAATATACTACATCAATAGAATAACAACAAAAAGAACCACATGATCATCTCTGTAGGTGTAGAAAAGCACTTTATAAAATCCAACACACTTTCATGATAAAAACACTAAACAAGACTAGAATAGAAGGAAAATGCCTCAGTATGATTTAGGGCATACAGGAAAAGCCAACAGCCAACATTATATTTAATGGAGAAAGATTGAGAGCCTTCCCCTTGAAATCAGAAATAAGACAAGGGTGCTCACTCTCACTACTTATATTCAATGTTGTATTAGAAGCACTGGCCAGAGCAATAAAACAAGAAACAGAAATAAAAGTATCCAGACCGGAAAAGAAGGAGTGAAATTATCTCCATTTGTGGATAATCCTATATCCACCACTCATCTATCATTTTGTCATTCTGTGGTAGCTTGCGCGTTGCTGTGATATTGGAAGCAATGTCACCAGTATGTCAAATACCAGGAGTGTCACCCATGGTAGACAAGTTTCAGCAAGTCTCCAGATTAAGACTAGGAAAAAGGACATGGCCAGGTCCACATCTGAAAAAACTGTCTACTGAAAACTTTATGAATATGCAGTGAATTGCTTGATGTGGTCCTTCTAGCCATTGTCCTCCATTCTGTGGTGTTTTGTAAATCCCATCATCCATGCCACTTTGGGGTGGTGTGGTAGTTAAGATCAGGTATCAACTTGGCTGGGCAGCTGGTAGTAGTCATTCCCTATAATGACTGGCAGTCGACTCTGTGATGGGATTTAGGTTAATTCTGTTGGGGCAACACAGGTGGAATGTATCTTGAGTCCTGCCTTGCTGGAGGGTATACCTATGAATCTCCTGGGAATATTCGCTCTCCTCTGGCTCCAGCTTTGTGTCTTGGATCATCCTCATCTCACCCATGGACTTGGGACAGCAGCCATCATCTGATCTGCTGATTGAGGTTCATCAAACCCCGAGAGCTGGGAGGATCTGCCAGACCTACTCACGGACCCGGGACTCGCCAGCCTGCCAGCCTCCACCACTACTACGTGAGACGAACCCTTGGGTGTCTGTGAGTTCTGTGAGGTGTTACAGTGAAATACAGAACCCTAAGACTGGGAAAATTTACTGGGAGGAGGAGGAGGAGGAGGAGTTAATGTCTGAAATGATGGAGTGGCACGGTAGTTTGGACATTTGGGACATCTTTAACCTCCGTCTCATGGGGACTGGCCCCGTGCTGATCTTTCTAAGAGAAATTGTTCAAGCAGAATAGCATGGAAACACTGTCAGATTATAGTGTTGGAAGATGAGGCCCTTAGGTTGGAAGGCACCCAAAATATGACTAGGGAAGAGCTGCTTCAAAGTAGGTAGACCTACTGACATAGATGGAATAAAGCTTTCTGGACCTTTGTCTTCTGATAAGGTATGACTCAAAATGAGGAGAAACAGCTATAGACATCCATTAATAATTGGAAAATGGAATGTACAAAGTATGAATCTAAGAAAATTGGAAGTTGTCAAAAGTGAAATGGAACACATAAAGATTAACCATCCTAGGAGTTAGTGAACTGAAAAGGGCTGGTATTGGTCATTTTGAATCAGATAATCATACAAAAGCCAAAATACAACCTTGAGTACATCTCACCTGAAGTTAGATACCATCTGAAAAACAGATTGGATGCACTGAATACAAATGTCCAAAGACCAAAAGAGCTGTGGGATGACATCAAGGAAATCATACACAAAGAAAGCAAAAGGTCATTAAAAAGACTGAAAACAAAAGTCTAAAATGCATATAAGAAGAGACTCTGAAATTTGCTCTCTGAACTGAGAGTGGCTAAAGCAAATGGAAGAAATGATGAAGTAACAGAACTGAACAAAGATTTTAAAGGGCAGCTTAAAAAGACAAAGTAAAATTTTATAATGAAATGTGCTAAGAACTGGAATTAGAAAATCAAAGGGAAGAACACGCTTGGCATTTCACAAGCTGAAAGAACTGAAGAAAAAATTCAAGCCTTGAGCTGCCATACCGAAGGATTCTAAGAGCAAAATATTGAATGATACAGGTAGCATCAAAAGAAGATGGAAGGCATACACAGTCACTGTACCAAAAAGAACTGGTCAATTTTCAAGCACTTCAGGACACAACATATGATCCAGAACAGATGGCATAGAAGGAAGAAATCCAAGCTGTACCGAAGAGACTGGAAAACGAGGCTCCAAGAATCGATGGAATACTCATTGAGACGTTGATGAGGATGCAACAAAAGGATGCAGCACTGGTGGTGTGTACTCGTTTATGCCCAGACAGCTACCTGGCCAATAGACTGGAAGAGATCGTATCTGTGCCTGTTCCAAAGGAAGGAGACCCAAGAGAATGCAGAAATTATCAAGCAGTATCATTAAAACCACACATAAGTAAAATTTTGTTGAAGATAATTCAAAAATGCTTACAGCAGTACATCAACAGGGACCTGTCAGAAATTCAAGGTGGAATTAGAAGAGGATGTGGAATGAGGGATATCATTGCTGATCTCAGATGGATCTTAGATGAAGGCAAAGAATACCAGAAAGATGTTTACCTGTGTTTTATTGACTATGCTAAAGCATTAGACTGTGTAAATCTTAACAAATTATGGATAACATTCAAAAGAATGGCAATCCCAGAACACTTAATTGTATTCATGAGGAACCTATACATAGACCAAGAGGCAGTGGTTTGAACAGAACAAGGGAATACTGAATGGTTTAAAATCAGGAAAGGTATGCATGAAGGTGTGTCCTTTCACTATAATTATTCAATCAGTATGCTGAGCAAATAATCCAAGAAGCTAGACTTTATGAAGAAAAGTATGGCATCAGGATTGAAGGAAGAGTCATTAACCACCTGTAATATGCAGATGACATAATCGTGTCTGCTGAAAGCGAAGATGACTTGAAGCATTTATGGATGAAGATCAAAGACTATAGCCTTCAGAACGGATTACAACTCGACACAGAGAAAACAAAATCCTCACAACTGGACCAATAAGCAACACAATGACAAGACTGAAGTTGTCAGGAATTTCATTTTACTTGAATCCACAAGCAATGTCCAGGAAAGCAGCAGTTAAGAAATCAGAGGTCATACTGCACTGGGCAAATCTGCTGCAAAAGACTTCTTTAAAAGTGCTAAAGAATGAAGATGTGACATTGTATGTGAAAGCTGAACAATAAATAAAGAAGACTGAAGAAGAACTGATGCATTTGAATTGTGGTGTTGGTGAAAATACGGAAAATACCATGGACTGCCAGAAGAACAAACAAATCTATCTTGGAAGAAGTACTGCTGGAAGTGAAAATGGGCAGACTTTGTCTCATGTACCTTGGTCACATTGTCAGAAGGGACCATTCTCTGGAGACGAATATAATGGTTGGTAAAGCAGAGACAACAAAAAAGGGGGAGACCCTCAATGAGATGGATTGACACAGTGACTGAGATGATGGGCTCAAGCAGAGCAAATATTATGAGGATGCAGCAGGACTAGGCATTGTTTTGTTTAGCTGCACATAGGGTTGCTATACATTGGAGCCGACTTGACAACAACTAATACCACACCACAGTACAGTAATCAAAACAGCCTGGTGCTAGTGTAACAACAGGCTCATAGACCAATGGAATTGAATTGAGAGTCTAAAAATAAACCTATACATCTAGTCAACTGATTTTTGACAATGGTGGTAAATCCATTTAATAGGGAAAGAAGAGTCTCTTCAATTAATGGTGCTAGGAAAACTGGATTTCCACATGTAGGAAAATGAAACAGGGTCCATCCGTCATAGCACACACAAAAACAAATGCAAAATAGATTAAGGACTTAAATACACACACTAAAACCATAAATCTCTTAGAACGAGCATGGGTAATCCTGTTAGGCCTAAAAGCACAAATAGCAAAAGACAAAATAAATAAATAAATGGGACCTCATAGAAATTAAAAACTTTTGCACATCAGAAGACCTTCCCAAAAAAGTGAAAAGACATTATCTTCAGAAAACCATACTTCTGACATGAATCTAAAAACCAAAGTGTATATAAAACTTTGACAATTTAACAACAAAAACATAAATAACCCAATCACATAAAATGGGCAAAGGACTTAAAAAGAGGACATTCAAATGGCCACCAAACACATGAAAAGATGCTCAGTGTCATTAGCCATCACAGAAATGCACATCAAAACCACAATGAGATATCATTCACCAGGATGGCTAAGATAAAAAACAGAAACAGAAAATAACAAATGCTGGTGAGGATTGGGGGAAATTGGAACCCTTACCCATTCCCAAAGGGGGTCGCTATGCATAAGTTGGAACTGACTCGATGGCAGTGAGAATGCACTGCCCGTGGGAATGCAAAATGGTACAGCCATTTTAGAAAACAGTGTGGCAAACCAAAAACCAAACCCACTGCCTTCAAGTCGGATCCAACTCATAGCGACCCCTCCTTGGGTTTCCAAGGCAGTATCACTATGGAAGTAGATTCCCCCAACCTTCCTTCTGAGGACCAGCTGGTGGGTTTGAACCACTAGCCTTCTGGTTAGCAGTCAAATGCCTTAGGCACTATACCACCAGAGCTCCCCTAAATATAGAACTACCATATGACCTAGCAATTCCACTCTGCGGTATACCCAAAAGACTTGAAAGTAGACATTTAAAAAGACTTGGACATCAATGTTCATTGTAGCACTACTCACAATAGCCAAAAGTGGAAACAATCTAAATGCCTATCAACAGATGAATGGTAAACAAAATATGGTACATACATATAATGGAATACTTCTCAACCAGCAGGAGAAATGAAGTCATGATATATGCTGCACTATGGATGGAGCTTGAAGACACTATGTGAGCGAAATCAGCCAATCAAAAAGGATAATTATATGATCTCACTTACATAAACAGACAAATAGATCAGTTAGCTCCTGTTTCATAACAAGGGGCTATATTAGTTATTGGTATGAGTTATTTGTTCAAAGAGTGCTGTTTAGGGCAGTGGTTCTCAACCTAGGCATTTTTTTTTTTTATTATTGTGATTTGGGCGAAGATTTACAGAGCAAATTCACTTTCCATACAGCATTTCACATATACTTTGTCTCATGTCATTGACCACAGTTTACCACAATGCAACAGCTCCCCTCCAACTTCCTCCCCTTTGTACCACTTCCCAGTGTCCATCCCTCCATACTCTCCTGCCCCCTGAGCTGTCTCCCTGTGCATAAGCAGCCCTTCCTTCTCCCATGATTGTTCTCTCTAGGGCGTGTGTCTACTTGAGGTAAATGTTTAACTCACATGTCAACCTAGGCATTTTTGCCCTCTCCCCCAGGGACAGTTATTTGACAATGTCTGGAGACATTTTTGGTTGTCACAAATGGAAGGTACAACTGGCATAATGAGTAGAGGTCAGGAATGTTGCTAAACATCCTACAATACCCAGGCAGCCCTTGGCACCCCAAAAACAAAGAACTATCTAGCCCAAAATGGCAAGAGGGCTGAGGCGGAGTACATAGTGGCTAAGGCACTTGACTGCTAACCAGAAGGCTGGCGGTTCAAACCCACCAGCCACTCCTCAGAAGGAAGGTTGGGCAATCCTACTTCTGTAGTGATACTGCCTCGGAAACCCAAGGAGGGGTCGCTATGAGTCGGGCCAACTCGATGGCATATAACAACAACAACACAGCCTGCATTCTCAACAAGGGTAATGCTGCTTGCCCCAAGGGGGATGAAACTTAAGTTCCTGGAGAGAGGCAAAAAAAAAGTCTCTTTATATAAAAGCACAGATAAACATACACTACATAAACAGATATACAGTTTATCTGTGTATTAAAATTTCATGTACGTGTTGAGCGACAATTAGGAAAAGTGTCTAACAAGATTCTTTAGAAAGACAACAATGAAAAAAAGAAAAGCTTGAGAAACATTGGTCAAGAAAGAGAGGGTGGTACAGCACAGTCTCATTGTTACAACAGTAAAAAAAAAAAAACCGAGGAAACCCTAAAAGCTCATTTTCACAAGTACTGTATAGGAGCAATAACTGTTTGCACATCTTCTCTATGTGGCAGGCACAGTGCTACTCTGTACCTACTTTGTTTCAAATTCTACATCTCCATGAACTCATTTAATCCTCACAACAATTTTATAAATCAAGGCGACTGATACTGATCATTCTAAATTTACAGATTAGGAGACTTTAACATCAGAGATACAAAATATTTTGTCCGCGGTCTCAGGGCTAAAAGTGTGCTGAAATAACTGGAATGCAGGCCTGACTCCAAAGCCCAGACTCCTTCTACTTCACCATTCTGTTTCCCATATAAAGTTCGGTTTATTCAGTAGGTCTTTCATAATTGCACCTACTAGACCTGTCATTGCACCGATTATTAAAACGCTCAACTTCAGCGAGGTCATCGGACTAGATAATGGGTGGAACCAAGGGGTGCATTTGCTTCCCTTTTAAGATCTATCTCGAATAAATAGGTAGTCATCTTTGTACAGGAGAGCAGAGTTTTGAAGCTGAGATCCCCTAGGATCCGAAAAGACAAAACCAGAACCTGCTGAGGGAAGCACTGAGAAGCCCTAATAGCAGTCTTCGCATCTTAAGAATTTAGTCGAGGGCCGCCAGTCTCCTCGCCGATAAAATAAACGTGTGGACCAGCTTCATCAGCGAGTTTCCTGGCGGAAAAGGAAGAGATCACTAGGGCTTTAGGCCTAGATAGGAGACGATGCCCCAAGGATCCCAGAAACACATCACTCTCACCTCCAGGAGCCCCTGGAAATGCAGCTGCCGCTGGCCAGATCCCTCCCAGGTTCGCCTTACTTACTTTTTTGATATTGGATTTGGAGGCGGGATGAAAGTCCTTCTTGCACATGAAGTTGGCAAAAGATTTCCCCATCTTGGGGTCTGATCTGGTGAGGGTATCCTCTAGATCTGAAAACAACGTAAACAAACTTCGCTTCCTAACCGGAACTGCGCCTCTGGCGGCAGCGGGAACTTCCGAGGTCAAAGGTGACAGCTTCCGGCAACCTACGTCTCTGCCTGCAGCTCCTTGTCCCTTCTCTCTGGGAGAAAATTTTGAGGCCAGGTGAGGGGTGTGCATAGGGGTAAGGGCGTGCGTAATTGAGGTAGGAACCCAGAAGACTTGGATTGCCGCCCAGCGCTGCGGTCACAGTGGGGTGGGCAGCGTAGTATGGAGTGGGTGATCCTGGCTAATCAGCAAAAGGTGCCTGAAGTTCGAGCCCATTACTTTCAGTGAACTCTACTTCAAGTTACAAAACTTCTGTAGCGGTTTTCTCATCTGTGTTATAGAGATAGTAATTTTCACCCTCACACACTGTGTTTTTGAGGATCAAACGTTGTGTTGTTTCTGAAAACATTTGGTGAGCTGTAAAGTACTATAAAATACAATGCTAGTTCCACGAGAGCGCAGACCATGCCTATTTTGTTCACAGCTGTATGGTGCCTGGCACAGATAAACAATTGTCGGATGCTGAAAATGCGTTATGGTGGTGGTGGTGGTGTGCGGTCAAGTTGATTCAGACTCATAGCGGCCCCAGGTGTAGAGAAGAATTGCCTCACAGGGTTTTCTAGGCCACTCCTCGGAAGGAAGGTTGGGCAATCTACTGCCAAAGTGATACCGCCTCGGAAACCCAAGGAGGGGTTGCTATGAGTGGGATCCAACTCGAGGGCAGTGCGTTTGGTTTGGTTGGTTTGGAATTTTAACCGTGGAGTAGTGCCTAAAGCATTTGACCGCTAACCAGAAGGCTGGCGGTTCAAAACCACCAGCCACTTCTCGGAAGGAAGGTTGGGCAATGTAGTTCCACAGTGATGTTGTTGTTGTTGTTGTTGTTATGTGCTGTGGAGTCACTGCCTTGAAAACCAAAGGAGGGGTCACTATGAGTCGGATCCGACTGGAGGGCAGTGGGTTTGGTTTGGTTAATCTTTACAGGAGTAGATCGCCAGGTCTTTCAAGGAGCTGCTGGGTAAGTTCAATCAGCATACTTTACTGTTAGGAGCTGAACAAGTAACCATTGCGCCACCAGAGGTCCTGTGGAAAGGTTTACCCACTACCGTGTTGTTGATTCCGACTTACAGAGGCCCTATAAAACAGAGTAAACTGCCCCATAGGGTCTCCAAAGCTGTAAATCTTTGTGGAAGAAGGCTGCCAGATCTTGCATGAATAAAACTAAACCCACTGCCATCTAGTAGATTCCAGCTCAAAGCAAGTCTCATAGGGTTTCCAAGACTGTGAATCTTTACAGAAGCAGACTGCCTCCTCTTTCTCCCACAAGCAGCCCAATGCCTTAACCATAGCGAGTTAAACCAAACCAAACCAAACTCACTGGTGTGGAGTCAATTCCAACTCATTTTACAGAGGCAGACTGCCCCATCTTTCTTACACAGAGCAGCTGGTGGGTTGGAACCACTGACCTTTTGGTTAACAGCCAAATGCCTTAACCACTACACCATCAGAGCTCCTTTGACCACCCATTAGGACTTAGTAAAAAGGCAATCAAGACTTCCCCTTCTTGATGGCTAAGGTACCTTCCTAAGTAGGTGGCAGGTTTCCTTACCTGCCCTACAATAAACAGCTCAGGTCACCTAGTTCAGCTTGGTGGCCTTTGGGACAGGGTTTGGGGAGGACACTGCTTCTATTGCTCTAGGGGGATACACCAAATAAGTCCTTTCCATGTTACAAGTAAGGTTTTTGTGAGAACTTTCTCCCTGCCCAATAACAATTACTTTCAAGTGTCTAGTATGTTCCATGCACTGTGCAGACTGCTTTAAACAGTGTTTTATTAAATTCTCGCAACAGCCCCAAGAGATGGTGTCTTTTGTTTTACTGATGAAGCAGGAGATACACAGAGAGACTAAATAGCCTGCCCAAATTAAGTAGAGCTAACTTTGGAATACAAATAAAAGTGATCCAGGGCATAAAGTTTGAAGTACACACATAGAAGAGAAACAATGGTGAGACTTCTCTCTTCCCATCAATGAGAAAAAGAGAAAAACCCTTAGGAGTTTCAGGCTGAAGTTGTTTCTTACTTGAGTAATTTTGCTTTTCTTTTAATGAAACATGTATCAGATTTAAATTTTTTTAAATATTGGTTAAAAAAAAAAATATTGGTAGGATCTGTCATTCCCAGGTTTGAGGATTATAAGATAATGGGAAGAAGGAAGCTCTGAAACAATTTGCCCACTCTGGAAGCAAAATTAAAAGTGTGGGACACTTAAGTGTTCTACTAAAATTTAGGATTTACAGTTTTCTGCATTTTAAATAAAAACAATAGATATTAAATTATACAAAGCTTAGAAATTCTGTATATAAACTTTCTCCTAGAAATACCAACAATTTGGAATTTTATTGACATCTTTATAGTTGTCTGACTCAGTGAGTCTGGTCAGAATTTCAGTCTTACCAGTATTATAAGCTATATTCTTTTCCAGCTCAAAGAAGATTCCTCCTTCCTACCTTTGAGGAAATACTGAGTATGTAAGATTTTTTCCTAACAAATTCCAGCAGTGAAAATATAAAGACAAATAAGATACACTCCCAGGTTTCAAGGATCTTACTGTCCAGTACTCACATATGTACACAAATGTCGTAGAATACAGTCTTCCCAACCTAGAGCGAGGTATCAAACCCTAAACCAAACTGATTGCTGTTGAGTCAATGCTGACTCATGGGGACCCCATGTGTTACAGAGTAGAACTGCTCTGTAGGGTTTTCTTGGCTGTAATCTTTACAGGGAGCCCTGGTGGTGCAGAGGTTAAGTGCTTGTCTGCTAACAGAAAGGTTGGTGGTTTGGCTGCTCCATAAAGATTACAGCCTTGGAAACTTTATGGGGTGGGTCTACTCTGTCCTTTAGGGTCACTGAATTGGAATTGACTATGGCAGTGGGCTTTGAAAAAAAATCTTTATGGCAACAGTTCACCAGGCCTTTTCTTCTGCAGTGTTTCTGGGCAAAAGGGGAACTAGTAAAAGAGTCAGGCAAGACTGCAAGAGAGAAAGATCTTAGAGGATAAATTTGACCTATAGAGTAGGAGAAGGTACTTCTCATTGCCATTTTGTGATTGATTATTTGAGTGCAAGATGCATTCCCAAGCTATTTTCTAACTGATTTTTGTACTACAGTATGTAAAGTTAAAAATTTGTATAAGCACCCTTTATTGGATATGGTAGTAATATTCCTTAGTAACCAAGTAAAACTCTTTGTTTTGTGTATCTTAAAAATCTTTTTATTTTGAAACTTCTGTATGATTTTTAGTTTTGAAAAAAAAGCAACATGGAACCTTATTCCTGTGACACCTTCGTGGCATTACCTCCAGCAACAGTAGATAACAGGATTATTTTTGGAAAAAATTCAGATCGACTCTGTGATGAAGTACAAGAGGTAGTCTATTTTCCTGCTGCAGTTCATGATAACCTGGGAAAACAGCTTAAGGTAAGTGAAATACATGTTTTGTTAGCAGTGTGTTTCTTGAAACAGTTATTTCTGTCATTAGCTAGCTAGTTGGCAGAGACTTGTTAACTGCTTTCAAGTTGCCCCCTGACCGCTGGCAACTCCATGCAAAACGCGATGAAATGCCGCCTGGTCCTGCGCCCATCCCCGTGATCTGCTGTGCTCCATAGGGTTTCTGTTGGCTGATTTTCGGAAGCAGATTGCCAGACCTTTCTTCCTAGTTCATCTTAGTCTGGCAGCTCTGCTGACACCTATTCAGCATTGTTGCAGCATGCAAATCTTAACTGACAGATAAGTAACAACCGCATTATCAGGTACATTGGCTGGAAAGCAAACCTGGGTCTCCTTCATGGAAGGTGAGAATTTCTCCACTGAACCACCAACACCTCACTGGCAGAGAGTATAGAAGTTAAAAAGTCAAGAATTTAAATTAGAAAAATAATTTGAATCAAAAAGCTTTCTGGTCTTTTATTTCTGTGTTTTGGAGGAAACTAAAATGGTAACAGTAATAATAATATTAATTCTTTCATAAAATATTTGAATATTTTCTATATGCATACATGTTAGATAGGGCAAGAGATTTAAAGCTGTCTGTCAAGACTAGAAGGAGCTCTGGTAAGCAGTTGTTAAAGCATTCAGTTCCTAACCATAAAGGTCAGCAGTTCGAACCCACCAGCCATTCTTCGGGAGAAAGATGAGACAGTCTCCATCCATAAATATTTATCACTTTGGAAACCCTATGGGTCATTTCCAGTCTGTCCTATAAGGTCACTATGAGTTGGAATTGACTTGATGGCACTGCATTTGGTTTGTTTTTTGGGTCAAGACTAGGGGGAGCTCTGGTGGCACAGTGGTTAAAGCATTCAGCTCCTAACCATAAAGGATGGTGGTTGGAACCAACCAACCATTCTTCAGGAGAAAGATGAGGCAGTCTGCCTCCAAAAAGATTACAACCATGTAAACCCTGTGGAGTTCTACTTTGTTCTGTAGGGTCGTTATGAATTGGAATTGATTCGATGGCAGTGGGGTAGATGGTCAAGATTAGCACTCTGTCTTTCACAGGGCTTCGAAGGGGTTCATTCTGGTTTGACCCCCTGCTGAGAATTTGCATTTCAGCCAAGATATACTGAATCAGAATCTATAGTTTAACAATATGTCCAGCTGATTCTTTTAGCTTTGATGTTAAATTTAAGAGCCATATGCTGTGAGAGCAGAGGAAAAATCAAACCAAACCCACAGCCATCAAGTCAATTCCAACTCTGAGTGACCCTGTAGGACAGAGCAGAACTGCCCTATAAGGTTTCCAAAGCCTCAGATCTTTACAGAAGCAGATTGCCTCATCTTTCTCCCACGGAGTGGCTGATGGGTTCTAACTACTGACCTTTTGGTTAGGAGCCAAATGCCTTACCCACTGCACCACCAGAGCTTCCTGATCAGAGAAGAAATGGCAATTAATTCAGAGTTTAGATCAAGGAAGTTTTCATTAAAAGATGGTATTTCAACTGGAGTTTGATGAACATAAAGGATTCTGATGGTTGTAGAATAGGAAGTCATGCCAGACTCTGGGAATGGCAAATTTATGACACGTCAAAAAAAGTTTAGTGTTGTTGTTGTTGTTATGTGCCGTCGAGTCGGCCCCGACTCATAGCGACCCCTCCTTGGGTTTCCGAGGCAGTATCACTATGGAAGTAGGATTGCCCAACCTTCCTTCCGAGGAGTGGCTGGTGGGTTTGAACCACCAGCCTTCTGGTTAGCAGTCAAGTGCTTTAGCCACTATGCTACCAGAGCTCCTAAAAAAAAAAAAAAAAAAAGTTTATTAGGCCCAGTGATAACACTTTCAATGTGCATTTTATGTAGTTATTTGGTAATATACAGATTGATTAAAGGAAGCTAGCTTTAAGGTACCTAAGACATCTGACTGCTAACCAGCAAGCTGGTGGTTCAAACCCACCAGCCACTCCCCGGAAGGAAGGCTAGGCAATCTACTTGTGTAGTGATACTGCCTCGGAAACCCAAGGAGGGGTCGCTATGAGTCAGACCTGACTCTACGGCAGCTGGTTAAGGTAATCTCATTAAAAAAAAACAAAAAAAAACAAAACTCTTGTAATGTAGAACTTAAAGTGAAAGTTTCATATGTTTTTATTACTAAGTGATGTACTTTTTGGATTTTATTTTATTGATATTCTAATATTAAAATATATATTAGATGTTTTGTGGATATTAGGCCATACTTTTTTCCTTCTCTGAGACTGTTTATTAATCTGGAACACCATTCCCAATTAATATATTCATATTTAAATCTAGCCTATCTCGTAAGCCAGGTTCTCATTCTTTTTGCTGCTCTGTACCTACCTGCTAGGCGACTTCCACATGTGACATGGGCTTCTATGGTAATACTCTTGTATTTAAGGGACCATATGTATATTTATAGGAGCTCTGGTAGCGTAGTGCCTAAGGCATTTCACTGCTAACCAGAAGGCTGGCAGTTCAAACCCACCAGCCACTCCTTGAAAGGAAGGTTGAGCAATCTACTTCCGTAGTGATACTGGCTCGGAAACCCAAGGAGGGGTCGCTATGAGTCAAGTCTGACTCAAGGGCACATAACAACAACAATATGTATACTTACAACACTAACCAAGAAACATTGGACACCAAGGTTGAGAACTGCTTTCATAAGCTTCAACTTACATACATCTTCCTGTATAAAATTTTTCAAGATTTCACAACTAAACATCATCTCTCTTTCTTCTGAGCTTCCATACCACCTAATCTATTATTTCTTCTCTTTGTGGCCCTCATACTTTAGTTGTATCTTGGTTAATATGCAAGTCTTAGTTTATTGAAAGTGAGATCTGTATTTGATTTATCTTTGTAACAAATATATCTCTTAGCAGAGTGCTTTATAATTTGAGATGATCAGCAAATACTTGAATGATTAAATGCTTTAGGATCAATTCTTAATATGTTTTGAGGGTAATGCCTTCTTTATTATTAAAATTTTCAATTTGGTTATATTTCATTTACATTTTTCATAATGGTTATGTTTTCTGATTTTTTTTTTAAATCCTAGATTTTGTTTTTTCATTCTTTTTTGTTTGTGGTTGTTGCTGTAACTTTCTTTACAGTGTACCTATATAGAAATTGATCAAGTTCCTGAGACTTATGCTGTTATCCTTAGTCGCCCAGCTTGGTTGTGGGGGGCAGAAATGGGAGCCAATGAGCATGGAGTTTGCATTGGGAATGAAGCTGTATGGGGAAGAGAAGAAGTCTGTGATAAAGAGGCACTACTGGGCATGGACCTTGTCAGGTTACTTTTCTATTATTACTTTTGCACTACAGAACTTGTCTAAATTTAAAATTTTGATGTAACTTTTACATGTTTTATTTTCCAATTTTTTATTTTTCTTTGTTTTTTTGGTACTTTATAGTGCTTGAACAATTTCTCTCAAAAAGATCAGCACAAGGCCGGTCCCCATGAGGTGGAGGTTAAAGATGTCCCAAATGTCCAAGTTACCGTACCACTCCATCATTTCAGACATTAACTCCTTCTCCTCCTCCCAGTAATCTCCCCAGTCTTAGGGTTCTGTATTTCACTGTAATGCCTCACAGAACTCACAGACACCGAAGGGTTCGTCTCACATAGTGGTGGTAGAGGCTGGCAGCTGGCGAGTCCCAGGTCCCTGAGTAGGTCTGGAGGATCCTCCCAATTCTCGGGGTCTGATGAACCTCGATCAGCAGATCAGATGACGGCTGCTGTCCCAAATCCAGGGGTGAGATGAGGATGATCCAAGACACAAAGCCAGAGCAAAAGGAGGGCGAACCTTCCCAGGAGATTCGTAGGTATACCCTCAAAGAAGCTAAGGGTGGTGATTTGAATTATACCTTCCAGCAACCCAGGACTCAAGATACATTCCACCTGTGTTGCCCCAACAGAAATAACCTAAGTGGATGGCGTTAACAATCAACAGCTCAAGGCAAATCCCATCACAGAGTCGATTGATTGCGAGTCATTATAGGGAATGACTACTACCAGCTGCTCAGCCAAGTTGATAACCTGATCTTAACTACCACACCACCCCAAACAGGCATGGATAATGGGATTTACAATACATTACCGAATGGAGGACAGTGGCTAGAAGGGCCACATCAAGCAATTCGCCACATGAAATTTATGTCCAAAGTACATGCATGCAGTTTCCAGACTCTAAAATGTCATACACTGGGAGAAGGGAAGGGGTTAGAAATTAGGATTCAGTGACAGTACCTAATGTACTTTATCATATATTAGCTTAACTAATTATCACAATAACCTTCTGGGGTGTATATATTATTATCCTTATTTTACAAGTTCAGAGATAAAATAACTTGCCAGTATATTACAGAGTTGGAATTTGAACATAGTTTGACTCCCAAAATGTTGTTTTTCATGATTTCTTACTGACTTTACAAGGAAAAGTTTAGTAATTATATTTCAGTTTTATCTGTTAATCTGAAAGAAGTTTACTTTGAATATAAGCACAGAATCTCCTGAGCATGAAATTATTTGATAAAATAATGGAGATTTATTTTAATCTGAGCACTTTCTTTAAATTTTAGACTTGGCCTTGAAAGAGCTGATACAGCTGAAAAAGCCCTCAATGTCATTGTTGATTTGTTAGAAAAATATGGCCAGGGTGGAAATTGTGCAGAAGGTAGTACGGAATTTAGTTATCACAACAGTTTCCTGATAGCTGATAGGAATGAAGCCTGGATTTTGGAGACTGCAGGAAAGTACTGGGCAGCAGAAAAGGTACAAGGTATGGATAACTTTTTGTGATTTAATTTGCTTTACAATAATAAAATATTCCAGTAATTGAAAACACTGCATTTAATTGTTTTTCAAGATTAATAATCCAGTGCAATGAAGGCTTGAACTTCAGGGGAAATGAAAGAAGAGCATATCGTGAAAGAACATTTGGAGAACATTTTTGAAAGAGGGAAAAAGGTGGAGTTATCACTGAGAGGGCTGATTTTGTATAAGCTGTATATGCTTTCTGTGTAGCAGAAAGTGGCTGTTTGCGAGTGCTTTTTCACTTTGTGATAAGTCCTTAGCATTTCTTCTTTTCACTTTGGGCTGAACTCTAAAATTTTATCATGTGTAGGTAGAGAGATGTGGAAAGGGTGGTGGATTGGTACACTAGAGTCTGTGCACTGGGGTAGGAAAGGATATGTTGATACAGTAGCTTTTTACTGTATATAAATTAAAACATAAAATTTTAATATCATTGAGTAAAAGAACACAATTACAGTTTTAGAATGCTTTTTTTTTTCATTGTTTCTTTTGTTTTTTCAAATGAGGAAATCCAGAGATGTAAAGTGACTTACTCAAAGCAAGTGAGTGAAAGACTTGAAATTTAAGTCTTTCAATGCTGACTCTCTCTTTTTTTTTTTTTTTTTTAATTTTTATTGTGATTTAGGTGAAATTTTACAAAGCGGATTTGCTTAGTCCAGTGCTCTTTACACCAGAGCACAGCCTGGTATTCAAGCATAATCAAATGCTACTCACATACTTGTGTCCTCCATCTCCTAGCTTACTAGAGAGGTAAGATCTATATAATTCACTGCCATGGAGTTGGATCCGACTCATAGTGACCCTTCCTTGGGTTTCTGAGGCAGTATCACTACAGAAGTAGATTGCCCCATCTTTCTTCTAAGGAGTGGCTGGTGGGTTTGAACTGCTAGCTTCCAGCTAGCAGTCAAATGCCTTAAGCACTATGCCACCAGAGCTCCTAACATAGGGAACGTTAAATGGTACATGAGCGATTCTGACACACAGACACAGAGAACACTTAGAGAAAGGAAAGGTCGTTACGAGCTGGAGGGTTTCAGAGAGGCTTCAGGGAGATGGCATTGCACTTCGGAGGATTTGGATGTTGTTTTTCAAAATAGCGCTTTGCCAATTATTTTCATGGAAATTTAGTTTTTATTTTGCATGTATGTTTACTAATAAATAAAACTGAACTTGGATTGTTTTTCTTATTATAATAATTGGCCATTGTACCATTTGATTGTACCATTGAGCACTTCTTATTTTATTAGATGTGCCACATACAAGAGAGAAATAAGTAAATGTATTCTGTTGCAGAAGAGTGGCACCTAGCCATCCAAAATGAACACCTTCATTGGTTCTGATTATCCAGTTTTAGATTAAACTTGCCACCTGGTTTCTCTTCCTATTACTAAATGATCCCAAGAACAAAAATTTTAAATGACAGAATTATCTACTACATAGTATATTAGGCGGGATTCTCTGGAGAAATAGAATATGTATGTATGCATATGTGTTCATGAGGGATTCTTGTGGTGATGGAAATACTCTATATCTTGACTGTATCAACACTAGTGTCCTTATTGTGATATTATACTATATTGCTACCAGATGTTACCATTAAGAAAAACTGAATAAAGGGTGTAAGGATTGCCCTGCATTACTTCTTACAACTGCATGTGAATCTTTAATTATCTTAAAAAGTTTAAAGTAATTCATTTATCATCTTGAATATGTAATACATGCACATGGCACAAAAGTTAGAAGTCTTTATTTAAATTGTAATTAAGAATCACAGGTACAGAGAGATACCTCATATTAAATACCATCTTTCTTCTCTTCTTTTTCTTCTTTGAAAATAGAGGGAGTTCGTAATATTTCTAATCAGCTTTCTATAACAACCAAGATTGATCGAGAGCACCTGGACTTGAAAAACTATGCTAAGCAGAAAGGTTGGTGGGATGGTAAAAAGGAGTTTGATTTTGCTGCAACATATTCATATCTTGACACAGCCAAGATGTTGACTTTATCAAGCAGATACTGTGAGGGCTACAAGCTTCTGAGTAAACATAAAGGTAATTTTGTCCTTTGATATCAGAATCAAAAATTACATTTTATCTGGATATAATGTGAGAATGATAAAATGTATAGTAAGGAATCATGCTAAGTAACCAAGCCAAAACCAAACTCAACTGTCATCGAGTTGATAGCAACTCCCATTGCGTTTCCAAGGCTGTAAATCTTTATGGAAGCAGACTGCCCCATCTGTCTTCTGCGGAGCAGCTGGTGGGTTTGAACCACTGACTTTTTGGTTAGCAGCCAAATGCCTTATCCACTACAACACCAGAGCTCCTTCATACTTAGTAAAGGTGTCGAGAAATAAACGGCTCTGGACACCATTAGCAGATTGCTATGCAGGTTTGATAGCCAGATTGCAGTTAAGCAACACATCATTTACTGAGTAAAAGTGTTCCGAGTAGTTAGAGCTCTTAAAGTTATCAGGAACTTTGAATGAAATATCTTGTTAGTTGACATTTATGTGACTTTGCTAAAGTTACAAGATAGTCACAAGATCAGTGAGCTTGGTGAAAAGACTCCTCAAGTTTTGAAAACATGATATGGTCATTAATCTTTTTAAAAAATTTTTGTTTATTTTGTTGTTTAGATTATACACAGTAAAACATAACACCAATTCAGTTTTGTACACTTATCATTTTGTTGTTGTTGTTGTTATGTGCCGTCGAGTCGGCCCCGACTCATAGCGACCCCTCCTTGGGTTTCTGAGGCAGTATCACTACGGAAGTAGGATTGCCCAACCTTCCTTCCGAGGAGTGTCTGGTGGGTTTGAACTGCCAGCCTTCTGGTTAGCAGTCAAGTGCTTTAGCCACTATGCTACCAGAGCTCCCACACGTATCATTTAGTGACAGTGATTATATTCTTCAAGCTATGTGACCACTGTTACCCTTATTTTGTGAGTTGTTTCTCCCCATTAACATAAATTCACTGTTCCCTAAGGTCCATATCTAATCTTTCAAGTTGCGGTCATCAATTTGATCCCATATAGATAGTTCTTAAAAGTGTGTAAAGGAGCTCTGGTGGCATAGTGGATAAGGGATTTGTCTGCTAATTAGGTCAGCAATTCAATCCTACCCATGGCTCTGCACAAGGAAGATGGGGCAATCTACTTCCATAAAGATTTACAGCCTCAGAAACCCAATGCAGGTCTTTATGAGTTGGAATTGATTTGATCACAGTGTTTGGTTTTTGGTAAAAGTGTATAATGCTCAAGGCAGACCCTTTTCACTAGTTAAAAACCAAAATAGTTAAGCTAGATTAATTTTTTTTATTATTTTATTGTGATTTGGGTGAAAGTTTACAGAGGTAAATTTTTCATATGACAGTTCATACATTTTGTTTCATGCCATTGATTGCAATCCCCATAATGTAACAGCTCTCTTCCCACTTCCTCCCTGTGGTTATGTTTTCTCTCTGTCCTTCTTTCCTATGTATTCCTGCCCTCTCAGCTGTTTCCCTGTGCAAATACTGCCCTTCTGACCTCCCATGGTTGATTGTTATAAGGGGAGCATACCTACCTGGTGTAAATGTTCACCTGTATGCCTGTCTGTTGTTTGGCTAGAAGCCATAGGAATGAGCCCAATTCCAGGCCTAAAGGGTGACTAGGGGCCATAGGCTTGGGGATTTCACCAGTCCCTATCAGACCAGTAAGCTTGGTCTTTTTTTTATGATTTTGAATTTTGCTTTATCTTTTTTTCCCCACTCTATCCGTTTCTGAGTGGCTTACAGTGGTAGCTGAAACTAGATTAATTTTTGGTTTTAAGAAGACTTCAGAGGATATTTTTGGTTTAAGGTTTAAAGATTATCTCTGGGCAATAATTTCAGGAGTTCAAGAAGTTCAGGTTCAGGAAGTCTGGAGTCCATGAGAATATGAAATTCTGTTCTGCATTTTCCCCCTTTTGGTCTGATTATTCTATGGAATCTTTGATCAAAATGTTCAGTAATGGTAGCCAGGCACCATCCAATTCTGCTCTCATGGCATAGAAGGCATTTGTTCATGGAGATAACCACATATTCCATTATCTTCCTCCAATTCCTGACTCTTTTTCTTCCTCTGTTATTTTAGGAGAATAGGGACCAGTTATTGTGCCTTGCAGGCTTTCAGGACCCTACACACTATGCAATGAACTAGGAGGTGGAATAGAAGCTAAAACATGTTATTAAGTCAATTAACTGGGATGTGCTGTGAAACCATGACCCTAACCCTCCGAATCAGATCCCATAAGGCTTTTGGTTGTACATAAGCAGCCTCAGCAGCTGCTCTTTTTCTGTATGTGCCATTTTTGTAAATACTATCTGTCATACAGTTTTTTTTGCCAGTTCACCTTTTTACAGGTATACAACTTATTGACAGCAATTACAATAATCGGCTAGGGATATGTTCATTAATCTTGAAAACAATATGTTGTTGTTATGTGCCATCGAGTCGGACCTGACTCATAGTGACCCCTCCTTGGGTTTCCGAGGCATTATCACTACAGAAGTAGACTGCCCCATCTTCCTTCCAAGGAGTGGCTGGTGGGTTTGAACTGCCAGCCTTCTGGTTAGCAGTCAAGTGCCTTAGGCACTATCCTACCAGAGCTCCCTGAAAACAAGATATGCTCATTAATTTTGAAGGCAGGATGTATTTATTAATTGTTTACTGAAAGAATAAGTTTTAAGTGACAGTTAATGAGTAATGAAACCAGCCTTTCTGGTTTCAGTTGGCCTACTCATCTACAAACAAGAAAATTACTTTTAAAGTTTAGTTTATAGCATAGCTAAAGATTATTTATTAGTTACAGTGCATAGATTTGTAATAACATTTAACAAGATAACCTTTAGTGTCATGGGTTAGAGAACTCTTTATGCTTTACATAATGTAATACTTGGAATTTTTTTTTTTTTACAAGGGTATACTTTTATTAAAACTGAAAGCAGTGTGATATTGTAAGCTATTTTTGAGGTGAGTGAAGTGGTTTACAATTGTGAGAGGACAATGATTCTTTCCCACCACTTGCCTGTCAGTTTGTCGTGGTTGCTTGTGTGTTGCTGTGAGGCTAGAGGCTATGCCACTGGTATTTCAAATGCCAGCAGGGTCATCCATGGTGGACAGGTTTCAGCAGAGCTTCCAGACTAAGAAAGACTGGGAAGAAGAATAGGGCCATCCACTTTTCAAACAATTGGGCAGTGAAAACCTTATGAATAGCAGTGAAACATTGAAGTGCCAGAAGATGAGCCTCTCAGTTCAGAAGGCGCTCAAACTACGACGGGGGAAGAGCTGCCTCCTCAAAGTGGAGTAGACCTTAATGACGTGCATGGAGTGAAGCTTTTAGGACCTCCTTTTGCTGATGAGGCATCACTCAGAATAGGAAGAAACAGGTGCAAACATTTTAATAGCCTCAATAATCACAAATGGAATGTATGAAATATGAATGTAGGAAAATTGGAAGTTGTCAAAAATGAAATGGAACACATGAAGATCGATGTCCTAGGGCTTAGTGAGCTGAAATGGATTGGCTTTGGCCATTCTGAATCAATCATATGATCTACTATGCTGGAAATGAAAAACTGAAGAGGAATGGCCTGGCATTAATCATCACAAAAAAACATTTCAAGTCCAATGTGATGGTTGGAGCTGTGAGTCAACTTGGCTGGACCACGATTCTGTGTGGTTTGAGCAACTGTGATGTGGGTTGTTCCTATGATGGGATCAGATGTATATGTTTTGAGCAGCCAATCCATTGAAGGGGGAGTTTCCCTAGGGGTGTGGCCTGCTTCCAGTATATTTGTGGACATCCTGGGAAAAAAGACTCTCTTCTTCTGTGGATCAGGATTCTGTTGTGCTGCCTACAACTGTCCATGAGTGAACAATCCACCATTCAGCCTGGAGATCTTGGATTCGTCATTCGTTGGAGTCAACAGCCAGTGTACTTCCTGCTGCCAACCTTGAGCTCCTCAGCCCCTGCAGCTGCGAGAGTCAGGAAAAGCCTCCAGCTTGACGTTTAATCCAAGAACTTGGGACTTGCCAGCTTCTATAAGTGTGTGAGCCATTTTCCTAAGATAAATTTCTCTTTCTCTCCCTATATAAGCTTTACTGGTTTTGTTTCTCTAGAGAACCCAGCCTAACACAACCTATCCTAAAGTACAGTGCTGTCAGTGATAGGATAATATCCATATGCCTACAGGGAAGACCAGTTAATATGACTATTATTAAAATTTATGTGCCAACCACCAAAGCCAAAGATGGAGAAACTGAAGATTTTTACCAACTTCTACCGTGTGAAATTGACCAAACATGCAATCACGATGTATTGATTATTACTGGTGATTGGAATGTAAAAATTAGAAAGAAAGAAGAATCCCCAGTAGCTGGAAAATATGGCCTTGATGATAGAAATGACACCAGAGATCACATGATAGAATTTTGCAAGACCAAGGAGTTATTTATTGCAAATGCCTTTTTTCAACAACATAAATGGTGGATATACATGTGAGCCTCACCAGATAGAATAGAATACATGGGAATCACATTGACTACATCTGTGGAAAGAGGTGATGGAGAAGCTCCATATCTTCAGCCAAAACAAGGCCAGGAGTTGGTTGTATGAAAAAGTTCAAGGTGAAGCTGAAGAAAACTAAAACTAGTCCAAGAGAGCCAAAATATGACCTTGATTATATCCCACCTGAATTTAGAGACTATCTGAGGAATAGATTTGATGTATTGAACACTAATGACCAAAAACCAGACGAGTTGTGGGATGATATCAAGAACGTCATACATGAAGAAAGCAAAAGGTCATTAAGTAGACAGGAAAGGAAGAGAAAACCAAAATGGATGTCAGAAGAGACTCTGAAACTTGCTTTTGAATGGAGAGTAGCTAAAGCAAATGGAAGAAATGACAAGATAAAAGAGCTGAATAGGAGATGTCAAAGAGCAGCTCGAGAAGACAAAGTCAATTATTATAATGGAATGTGCAAAGACCTGGAATTCGAAAACCAAAAAGGAAGAACATGCTCA